GTCTTGTGGAAAATAATAGTTATAAAGTCATGGGTGTTAGGATCCGTGTAATAAATCAGTTATTACACGTATTTGTCGTTGGCATCATGAAACATCTCGATATTATGCATCATTGTGGCTACGCCACAATACTGCATAATACAGTAATATCTCGTGATGTTTAACGATATCTATGATAAAACGTGAAAATAACTATTAAGTAGTATACTTTGAAAAAATTATTGAAATAATCAAAACAAATAAAAATATATAATAATACAATCGTTGTCTAGTTGTTGGTTAAGTTGGAGTTAGCGAAGAATTGAATATTTAATCGGATAAACATAATCATGAAACTCAAGTTGGTTCTATTGAAGGCTTTTTATACCGTTATTTGTCAATATAAAGTCTGCATATTAAATTTAAAACCAGGAAACCTAGTAAAGATTCGAATTCTCAACATCGATTGGCTAAAAATGGGGGTCCTTAAAGCCGGGTTAAAAAAAGTTACGTTTTTGATGTTTTGAGTTACCTTTTTGATACAGTTAAGGTTAGTAAGTTATAAATATATCAAGAATACAATTTATGCAGTATATGAAATCTGCCCCGCTTAAGGGACCCCTAAAAATGGATAGACAAGTATTGTTACGTAATATTATCCAGATTGCGACTCGCAACTTTGATGACTTTTCAGAACTCGACACAATTCCAATAGCGATAGGTAAATTCATCTCTATGAAATTCATGCTTCCAACAAAACTTAACGCGATTAATAAACCCCCTTCGCAAAAATTACAAATCATGTATACTAATTGAAAGAGTCGATATAATAAATATCGATGTAAAATTAAAAAAATAATAAATAAAATTGCTTCTTTTTTTTTATTAAAAACAATTTATAATCTATTATTAATCGGTAGATTAAAGTATGACGTACGTACGTACGTACGTATGTACTTGGGTGAATTGACCTTTGTTCTATAAATACATGTTATGCAGACATTAAGCCACTTTGCTTGATAAAAATACTACGTGCGCATGGGTCAAAATCGCGCAAGTTCTAGAATTGGTAAATTATTTTATCCCATATTGCAGTATTGATGTGGGGGTATCTACAGATCTAACGCTAATTGCGAAGAAAGATTTGCGATTGATATACTCTAAATTGTAACATATGAACAAGCTGAAAAGCATACCTTTACAATATGATTGTTTGTTACACAATTAAGAACAGAATACACACTATTGTAACCATAATTACTAATGTACGTTAATTGGTGATGTCCGTATGTATGACAAGTAGTATTTCTCGATCACGCAATTTTCGCGCAGTCTTGTATCATTCTTTTAAAATCGATTCATTAATAATCAAAATCGACATGAAAAGTATAAATATTGATCGAACGATACTTCTGACTTGCAATACAGCTAGCAAAACCAATTTATTTGGCAATTTACTCTGCAATTTACTTAGCAATTTAATTTATTCAGATCCCTATAACAAATTAACCATTTTATTTTTGCAAAAAAAAAAAAATAAAAACATAAAAATAAAAATAAAAATCAGATCATCGTTATATAAAAAATAAAAATGACACCTAACCTTGTTAATAAAGACGAAATTCTCAACGGATCGTTTGCAAACGGTTATCATGAATTGAATAGTATTCATGATGATGCCGAAGGATTTAATGGATCGTTTACAAACGGTTATAGCGAGTTTGATGATAGTATTCATGATGATGACGAGGTTCTAAATGAATCATTTACAAACGGTCATCATGAGTTGAATGGTATTCATAATAATGGCCAAATTTTTAACGAATCGTTGATAAACGGTCGTCGTGAGTCGAACGGTATTCATAGTAACGGCTATGAATCGCTTACTAACGGTCATAATGAGCTGAATGATAATCATGGTGAATCATTCCTTGCAGAGCGAGGATTTGGCACAAGAGCTATTCACATAGGGCAGGATCCTGATCCATACACTGGAGCTGTTATTCCCCCGATATCTTTATCAACTACTTTTAAACAATCTTCAATTGGTACTAATAAGGTACATATACGATTGTCTCTTGAAACGAATACAATTCTGGTACTAAATGCTTTCTTTTTGATTTCTTTTTTTTATAGGGTTATGAATATTCTAGATCAAGTAACCCTACGAGAAACGCATTTGAACAAGCAATTGCAGCGTTAGAAAAAGCCAAATATGGTATTGCATTTTCATCAGGATCTGCTACGACTGCAACTATTGTTACAACCATAGGAACTGGTGGTCATATCATATCGGTGAATGATGTCTATGGAGGAACCAATCGTTATTTTTCTAAAGTTGCACATTCTCAAGGAATCAGTACAACTTTTGTTAATTTGCTTGATCCTCATAAGATCGAATCTGCTTTCCGTCCAAATACAAAGGTATATTTTCAGTGCAAAAAAAAAAATAAATTTACATATATGTTATGTATACAAGTAGAATTAATTGTAATTATGTTTAATTATTATTAGATTGTATGGGTTGAAACTCCAACAAATCCTACTCTCCGCCTAGTTGACATTAAGAATGTCGCCGAAATAACACACAATCATGGTGCTATCCTTGTAGTCGATAACACATTCATGAGTCCATATTTCCAAAATCCCTTAGAACTAGGCGCTGACATTGTTGTACATTCTGTCACCAAGTATATAAATGGTCATTCTGATGTGATAATGGGTGTAGCCGTGATGAATGACAAAGCAATATATGAAAAAGTTAAATTTTTACAAAATGCCATTGGTGCTGTACCTTCACCTTTTGATTCATGGTTAGCAAATCGTGGATTAAAAACTCTACATGTACGCATGAAGCAGCATCAAGAAAATGCTTTAACTATTGCAAGATTTTTGGAAAGTAGTGATAAAGTTGAGGAAGTTATATATCCTGGGTTGGAAAGTCATCCGCAACATGATTTAGCAAAGAAACAAGCAAAAGGATTTGGAGGAATGTTAAGCTTTAAAATTAAAGGAGGTTTTGAAGCTGCTGATACCTTTTTACGGAATATTAAATTATTCACATTGGCTGAATCATTGGTATGTTTTATCTCATAGTCATGGTTTTTTTCTCCAGTTTTCCTCTTTGATTTAATTACTTATTTTTTTTTCTTTTTGATGACTTAACATAATAGGGTGGTGTAGAAAGTTTAGCAGAACATCCTGCAAAAATGACACATGCATCTCTCACTCCAGAACACCGAGAAGCTGTCGGTGTTACTGATAATTTAATTAGATTATCTGTGGGTATAGAAGATGTCGCTGATCTGGTAAATTTTATCAAGATAGCTTTATTTTTATTTTTTGATTTATTTTTTTGATCAAATTCTAATACATTATTACTATTATTACTTATTATTTATAGGTAGCGGATCTAAAACAAGCATTAGAAATAGCTGTACGAAATAATATAAAATCGCGTTAAACACATTAAATATTATAATTCTTAATAATAATGACTTTAATGTCTAGATATATTAAATAATTTTAAATTTAGAAACTTCATAGACTTATAGTAATTGTAATTCGTTCACTTGTAAATGAAAATTATTATTACTGTTAATGATAAATGGAGTTCTTCAACTCTTCCATCTAAATTTAAACATATAAACCATGATTGCAACGATTATATTTTCATTATCTAACCCTAATTCTAAAGGTCCAGATAATTTTCGATTATTTTGAAAAATTTGTTGGTATAA